GTTGCCGTCGTCGATCCTGGCGATCCTTTCAACCCTACCTACATGGAAGACGGGTACGGGGACGGGGACGCCAGAGCTTCGTCTGGGAGCGGGAAGAAGACCCCGGAGAAGGTTAGTGGGACGACGGGGTTGGGGTTACATAAGGTCTCCGAGATGAAGCACACTTCAAAGGGCTCGGTCCTGCATTCGGAGATGGTGTTGTCCCCCAAGGTGGTTTTGGAGGGTACGATGAAAGAGGCTATGGATCCTGCGCCCCCGCCTGCGTCGAGGTTGAGGAAGAAACTAAAAAGGGATGGACAAATAGGAGCTTCAGGAGATGGTCGAGACTACTATACTTAAATCATACTTAGTCGGCATGGTGCAGGTATTGTTCGGTTGTGTTTCTTTGATTTCTTCGTGCTTGCGACTTGACGTTCGTCAGAATATCTTTGTAGCGGAATGGGAATGCGTCATGATCAATGTTTGACCTTTTGGTTTTGAACGTTGACATCAAGTACGACCTTGCAACCAATTGAACCAAGCCCACACTTTTCACGTCAATCTGTCCCAGTTCCGAAATGGAACGAATCCTCTTGTCCCAGCAGGTCCCAGCCATGGTGCACGCTCCATACAACAGGCTTCGTCGGAGGCTCATCCTTGCTTGAATCGATGCGAGTGGGATGTTGCTTGTATGCCAAGTCGTGCTCAATCACTTAGCAGCGGGGCATGTTGCTGAGTTACTATGTGTCGACTTCTTACTATTCTTGTCAAGTGCTGGATGAACATGCCGTTCAGTTTCGGACTCAATCTACTCGAGTGTAGACGCGCAAGTATTTGTCACCTGGCTGCATCGTAAGTCACAAGGCTTCTTATTGGCGCCTATACCCCTCATTCTTCCAGTACGTGTCCAGGTCACTCCTCACATCCGATGCCCACAAATAACGATTCAAAGTCATCAGGTAAGTAAGCCACAGATTGATCAGATTTGAGTTTCGGGGAGATAACATAGAAACTCACTCCCACCAGCTGAACGCGTCACTGAATCTCAGGAACGAGCTTTATCTGATGCAGAGGACGACGACGTATACAACGAGGCTCATCCGAGTCGACAAATGTACATGCAACAGCAGCAGCTACTCGAGGTGGCTCAGGCAATAGCGCCAAAGCCTGGCAGCCGCTCCACCGCTGCCATGTTGGGAATTGGCGTGGGAGGGAGCAGCGACAAACCACCGTCTTCGAAAGAGAAGGCACTGCGCAGAAAAATCTTAGAACTGGAGTACGCACTGCAACA